TAGCGCGCCGCAGCCGCTCATCCAATTCTAAACCACCTTACAAACTAATCATGAAATCTGCCCTAAAATAATTTCACCATTCTGCGCTATACTGTGCTGGCTTCAACCATTCTTTCTGTACGAACAATGCGAGAAAAAAATTGATTTATTACAATTGCACATGAAACAACAATAACCAAAACAACTTATACTCGACTCATCAAATTACTATACAATAAAACTTGAATTAAAGATCACAGATTACCGCTGGGTTTGAGATCGCTGCTCACTACACTACACCAAGCAGCTATAAAAACTTATTAATTACCCTCAAAGTCGTCAAACAGACCAAAATCTAGATCGCCACTGTGATCCTCGTCGATAGGATTGCTAATCGGGTCATAGTGAAGACTGGAGAAATCAGGCAGTACATGGTTCTGTTCTTGGGTATCGGAGGGCTTTTTATCGGTAAAATCTATGGATGATTCATCTACAAAACTATCTTCTAAATAGGGAGAGTCGAAAGACAAAACTCCATCAGTTTCGGGGAAGGCGTGAGAAGAGGTAGGCAAATCGTGTGCAGCCAATGACGATTGGTTTACAGCTTCTGGAACAGCTTGATGCTGCGTTTGTGAATGTGGCCGCTGTGAAAGCTCCTGTTGTTTCTTACTCCGATACGCATGCTTTCTAGCAGCAGATCCAGCAACATGTCTTTGGACCTCAAATTGCACCATCATACTGAGAAAATTATAACGCATTGAATGATAAAACAAAGAAGAAAAACTCACTTTGCTCTGAATGATGGCATTCAAGCGCTCTTCCTCAGCCGATGATGAGTGCGAGTTTAACGGAGCAACTGTATCAGGAGAAACCGGACCATCTTCGGTGTCAAACCAAGCTGTATCGTCTACAGCTGGTACTGGAGCTGCAGGATCTGATGCAATAGACTGTTCCCGTGCTGCTGCGCGTTCGTCCAGTAATTTTTTCTGAACAAGTTAGTTGCAAAATTCGCAAAAAAATCAAACCCTTGGAGTTTTGG